TCTTCTTCTTCTTCTTCTTCTTCTTCTTCTTCTTCTTCTTCTTCCTCCTCCTCCTCCTCCTCCTCCTCCTCCTCCTCCTCCTCCTCCTCCTCCTCCTCCTCCTCCTCCTCCTCCTCCTCCTCCTCCTCCTCCTCCTCCTCCTCCTCCTCCTCCCCAAGCCTGACTCCCTTATAGCACTGATGATGTTACCTAGTTCGGTCATGAAACATCTGCAAGATATCAACCAAGCTCAGAAAGCATCAAGGAACCTCAAAAGCTTTACTACGAGGAAGGATTAGTGGATTGCTGATGTACTGTGTATATTGTATAAGATTGACACTAACAAGATTGCTTTGCACATTGTGGTTAGACATATTTTTGCAGGTCATAAGATAGCTTGCAGGTCACGCTGTCCAGTTGTCATACTAAAATTAATAAATGCTGACAATATTAGCATTTGCCCCAAACAGGATGGAGATTATGCCAGAAGGGATGGTGATTTCCAAGTGATAAACCCACATCACATTTTTCAAAACCACCTTCATTGCTGTTTTGTAGCTTAGTGTACTGAAAGGGCCTTCTTTGAACGATGTTTCCTTTTTAGACTATATCCAGTAAGACCTTCTTCATAATGGCAACAGATCCATTTTCAGAGGATGCTGGGATCTCCTTGCCTTCAGATTGGAACCACCTCATTAAATCATGGATAGTATCTACCCTACCAACAACAGTAATCTCTCTTTAAAAGCTAACATAGATTTTTTTTACTACAAAAGCAAACCACATTAACTAATACAGGTAGTCCTCCACTGATAACAGTTCACTGAAAGACCATTCAAAGTTACAACGGTCCTAGGCTGCATTAACAGAGGGATAGAATCAAGATCATGTGAAGGTCACACCTGGAATACTGCATCCAGTTTTGGTTGCCATGATGTAAAAAAAGATGTTGGGACTCTAGAAAGAGAGCAGAGAAGAGCAACAAAGATGATGAGGGGACTGGAGGCTAAAACATATAAAGAATGGTTGCAGGAACTGGGTATGTCTAATCTAATGAAAAGAAGGACTAAGGGTGACATGATAGCAGTGTTCCAATATCTCAGGGGCTCCCATAAAGAAGAGGGAGTCAGGCTATTCTCCAAAGCACCAGAAGGCAGGACAAGAAGCAATGGATGGAAACTCATCAAGGAGAGAAGCAACCTAGAATGAAGGAGAAATTTCCTGACAGTGAGAACAATTAATCAGTGGAACTACTTGCCTCCAGAAGTTGTAAATGCGCCAACACTGGAGGTTTTTAAGAAGAGATTGGACAACCATTTGTCTGAAGTGGTGTAGCGTCTTCTGCCTAAGCAGGGAGGGTTGGACTAGAAGACCTCCAAGGTTCCTTTCAACTCCTGTTTTTCTATTCTATTCTATTCTATTCTATTCTATTCTATTCTATTCTATTCTATTCTATTCTATTCTATTCTATTCTATTCTATTCCCATTCCCATTCCCATTCCCATTCTCTATTATGTTCTCTTCTGTTCTGTTCTCTTCTGTTCTGTTCTCTTCTGTCCCGTCCTGTCCCGTCCCATCCCATCCCACCCCACCTCAACCTATCCTATCACATCCCAACCCAGCAGTTCTATTAATTAAAATTATGTCTGACCTTCCACCAGAGAGGACAGGCATTAAGAAGAAGTAATAGCCCCCCACTTCCTTTTGTGAGGGCTTAATGGAGTAGCTCAGCTGCCTGGGTGAACCTTTGCCTTAAGGTGTACTCATACATGTTTAGACACATTCAGTACCTCATCAAATGGTCTAGTTGTCAGTTTGTGAAAAACCGTGAAGAGCTGTTCTCGCTTTTTTCATAGTTCGGAAACTTTGATACTTTAGAGGTTATTTTTATTTTCATTTTTTTAAAAAAAGAGTTGGGAATTCTTTTAGAGTTGTCAGTTTGAAAATTTGAGGGGAGAGTCTAAACTTTCCATTGTTGAGCGAGACACTTGTGAAGGGAGTTTTGCCCTGTTGTAAGACCTTTCTTGCCACCGTAGTTAAGTGAATCACGGCAATTATTAAATTAGTCACATGGTTGTTAAGTGAAATCAGGCTCCCCCCATTGAGAGTTTGCTTGTCAGATGATCGCAAAACAGGATCATGTGACCCCCAATACACTACAACCATCATAAATACGAGTCAGTAGCCAAGTCTCTGAATTTTGATTGTACGAGCGTTGGGGACGCCGCAAGGATCATAAGTGTGAAAAATGGTCGTAAGTCCCCTTTCTCAGTGCCATTGTAACTTTGAGTGGTTACTAAAAGAACTGTTGTAAGCCGAGGGCCTGTAAGTGGGAGGGAAGGAGAGAACCTGGTGGTTGAAATTATGCAATACATGGACCTCCCAGTATAGGGGTGTCAAACTCAAGGCCCAGTACGAAGAAAGATCAGGCCAACGTAGCTGTGATGACCCAGAGTGTAACACAAATGTAATAAAATCCAAAACGTAAATAAATGTCCTTTAATGCCTCCAACTTGGGCCCACTGTTCAATAATTCTCAATTGGAAATTAAATTTATTAAAAAATAGTCTTCAAAAGAAAGCAATACAGTCCAAACTCAATGAGCAGATGAAGGTGAAATAAAATACCAAAACAAACTACAGTGAAGGAATTTCCACAATGGGCCAGGATAAGTAATTACCAGCTTCAAGGAGATAACAAGGCATAGTCTATTGGAAGATAATAGAATTCTTTATTGGCCAAGTGTGATTGGACACACAAGGAATTTGTCTTGGTGCAAATGTTCTCAGTGTACATAAAAGAAGACACATTCATTAAGAGTCAAGAATCATAAGGTACAACACTTAATAATAGTCATGGGGTACAATAAGCAATCAAATCATACTAGGAAACAGTCAATATAAATAGGATACAAGCGACAAAGCTACAATCATACAGTCACAAGTGGGAGGGGATGGGCGATAAGGAGTGATGAGAAGATTAATAGTAATAGTAGTGCAGACTTTGTAAATAGTTGGACAGTGTTGAGGGAATTATTTGTTTAACAGAGTGATGGCATTTGGGGAAAAACTGCCCTTGTGTCTAGTTGTTCAGGTGTGCAGTGCTGTATAGCGTCATTTTGCAGGTAGGAATTGAAACAGTTATGTCCAGGATGTAGATATTTTCAGAGCCCTCTTTTTGACTTGTGCAGTACACAGGCCCTCGATTAGAGGCAGATTGGTAGTAATTGTTTTTTTCTGCAGTCCTAATTACTCTCTGAAGTCTGTGTCTGTCCTGTTTCATTGCAGAACATATTTTCACTAAGTCACTAAGGTGGAGAAGCACGGATTTATAGTAGAAAAGCGTACTGTATAGCATAAACTTTCCACGAAAGCAGGTCCTGAATTCAAATTGAACCGAACGCAAAGTTTTCAAGCGGGCTGTTGCTTGGATTTTTTCTAGCGTCACGATTATAGACTGTGTGCAGCAATTGGCCTTGTCCGATTTCCAAGGAAGCTGAACAGGTTCAGACTCGGTTAGCGTGTGGAATGAGGATTAGCAGGAAATCATACCAGCTAGTCTAGCTTGGCAGAGTTTAAATGCATCTTCTCAGCAAGCTTCTATGTCATTGCTAAGAAAGGTCAGACAGAAACTGCCTTAGATGTGAAGGAGATTCTATCAATCCATTAGAATAGAGCTGGAAGGGACCTTGGAGGTCATCTAGTCCACCCCCCTGTTCTATCAGGACAACACATACCATCTTAGACAAGTGACTGTCGAGTCTCTTCTTAAAGACCTCCAGCGATGAAGCACCTATAACTTCGGAAGGCAAAGCTGTTTCACTGGTTAATTATCCTCACTGTTAGGAATTTTCCTTAATTCCAGGTTGCTTTTCTCCTTGATGAGTTTTCATCTATTGTTTCTCGTCTTGCTTTGTGGTGCTTTGCAAAAGAAATCTACCCCCTCTTTTGGGGGGCAGCCCCTCAAATATTGGAATATTGCTATCCTCTCTCCTCTAGTTCTTCTTTTCTCTAAACTGGCCATACACTGTTCTTCGCAACTATTCTTGATATGTTTTAGTCTCCAGGCCTTTAACCATCTTAGTTGCTCTTCTCTGCACTTTTTCCTAAGTCTCAACGTCAGTTTTTGTCACGCGATGACCAAAACTGGATGCGGTATTCCAAGTGTGGCCTTACTAAGGTTTTATAAAGCGGTACTAATACTTCCCATGATTTTGATTCTATGCCCCTGCTTATACAACCCAGGGTAGTGTTAGCTTTTTTGGCTGCCGCTGCACATGGCTGGCTCATGTTTAAGTGATCGTCCATTAGGACTCCAAAGTCCATCTCACAGTTACTGGTTTTGAGGCAGGTTTCGGCTCATCTGTACTTGTACCTTTGGTTTTTCCTGCCTAAGTATAAAGCCTTGTTTTTCTCCACATTTCATTTTGTTGGATTGATACCAGAAGTGGGTATTCAGCAGGTTCTGACCAGTTCTGGAGAACTGGTAGCGGAAATTTTGAGTAGTTTGGAGAACTGGCAAATACCATCTCTGACTGGCCCCGCCCCCATCTCTTCTCTGCCTCCCGAGTCCCAGCTGATTGGCTGGGTCTTCTTTGGTTGCCCTGCACAGGAGAACAGAGCTGGAAAGCAGGTTAGTGAGGTGGATTGGAAATGTAGGTTTTACAGTATCCTTCCTCTGCCACACACACCAAGGCATGCCCACCAAGCCACGCCCACTGAAGCGGTAGTAAAAAAAATTGAATTCCACCACTGGTTGTGTCCAACATTGGGCCCATTATTCTAATTAGCATTGCGGTTTGGATGAATAGGTAACTCTGGGCAAAAGTCTTCCTTCCTTTTTGAGGGCATCTTCACCTCTGGGATTAGTTATAAGAGCCAACTTTTCTGCACTGCAAACATGGACAATGATGACAGGCATGTCAAGTCAATACAGCCCTCACTGTGGGACGACAGATCTGATTAAAAATATATGCCATAATAGTTTGCTGGGTTTTCAGTTCACCTAATTAAGAGTTAAAGGCAAGTTTCAACAGCTTTGCCTGCCTTCTGAAATCAGACGTATTGCTTTGTCTGCAATTCAAGGACTTCACTATATTTTGCTTACAATTTCAAACACAGGAGGTATGGATTTAATTTTTTTTCCTAATCTTTAGTTCTTCAACAGAAAGGAAGGAAAAGATTTAAAAGGCCAAAAAGAGAGAGAGAGAGAGAGAGAGAGAGAAGAATAAAACAATAGCATGTATGATGTGTGTCTAAGGTCTCCTGTGTGACTACAAGGAAAAAAAATATTCACATGGTAGTTTCAATAAAGAATTATCATATTTCCCTGCAATCATCCATACATAATCTGCGTCAATAAGCAGCTAATTTATATGTTGCAAGTGATATCGTATTTATACTGAGCAATGGGAGCCATAAACACATTTTGTCAATACTGAAGGAAGAAAGGCATAGAAATTCCCTTTCTGTTTTCCAGATATTTTGGGAATATGGTCACTTCAAAATACTTAAACCTTATTTCAAAGCAAAAGTAATACATGCAGTTACTTCTTCATGGAATTGTGCCAACTTCAGGACTTGCCAAAACCTATATCTGACTGGAGCACTAGTCTGGAAAGAGTGCAGAGAACAGCAACAAAAATGATTAAGGGCTGGAGGCTAAAGTGTAGGAAGAACAGTACCAGGAATTGGGTATGTCTAGTCCAGGGGTCTTCAAAGTTGACAGTTTTAAGACTTGTGGACTTCAACTCCCAGAATTCCTCTTCCAGTCATGTTAGCTCAGGAATTCTGGGAGTTGAAGTCCACAAGTCTTAAACTTGCCAAGTTTGAAGACCCTTGGTCTAGTTTAATGAAAAGAAAGACCAGATGGGACATGATAGCAGTGTTCCAATATTTGAGGGGCTCCTCTATAAAGATGAGGGGTGTTTGTGTCAAACTATTTTTCAAAGCACCAGAAGGCCAAGACAAGAACCAATGGATGGAAACTAACCAAGGTGAGAAGCAATCTAGAACTAAGGAGAAATTTCCTAAAGGTGAGAGCAATTAACCAGTGGAACAACTTGCCTTCAGAAATTGTGGGTGCTCCATCACTGTAGGCTTTTAAGAAGACATTGGTCAATCATTTGCAAGCCAGGATTTTTCTGCAGGTCAGAATTGATATTCAGACATGTGTTAGAGATATTGTGAGCATGTCTCTCTTGCTTTATTTTCCAGGAGAACTAGCTGAAGAAAAGCCACCCCCCATTTCTCCCTATGGTGAGACCTTCTTTATGAATTCTCCTGAAGACATGGTGAGTTGTTTACTACCTAGAAGTCTGAAGTTACGTTCCAATAATGATGAAATGGTTGATTGTATGGGTGTTGTGGCCCGCCAGTGGCCAGCAGAGCTGGTGGCAGACTTGGACAGTGAGGAGGTTGGGGAGGAACATGGGGCAGTCCTGGAGTCTGGGGAAGGGCTCTGCATCAGAGACAGAGATGGGCTAGGGCCATCTGACAGTTATCAGCTGCCTTCGGAGTTGGAGATCAATGAGGCAGAAGAACAGCTGGAGCCTGTTTCCAGTGTGCGCATGCACAGAGCTGCCAGGAGAAGGGAACAGTTAAGGAACAAGATTCAATTTGGGAGTAAAGCCACAGGTGGATGGTGAATGGCCCCTCCTATAGGGAAGGTAACAGGTAGCACATACGTGCTTATCTCCGTTACAAAGCCGAAGAGCCAGTGCTATCCAAAGATGTCTCACTGGGTCATGTGGCTGGCATGACTAAATGCCAAAGGCGCACAGAACGCTGTTCCCTTCCCACCAAAGTTGGTCCCTATTTTCCTACTTGCATTTTTACAAGCTTTTGGATTGCTAGATTGGCAGAAGCTGGGACAAGTAACAGGAGCTCCCTCCGTTACGTGGTGCTAGGGATTCAAACCGCCGAATTGCTGACCTTTCTGATTGAAAAGCTCAGCCTCTTAGCCACTGAGCCGTGTCCCTATAAAGCAGTGGTAGTGAATGGATAATAAGGGGATTCTAATGAAACTTAGATATGTGTGCTAATTCCCTGGGTGATGATTAAGCGAGTGCATTGGTTTGCACTTAGTGCAAAAAAAAAAAAAAGACCATTTGTCATAAGCCCTGTCCTTCTGTTTATGATGACTTAAAACAAGGGTTTTCAACTTGGCAGCTTTAAGACTTGTGGACTTCAACTCCCAGAATTCCTCAGCTAACATGACTGGAGGAGGAATTCTGGGAATTGAAGTCCACAAGTCTTAAAGCTATCAAGTTTGAAGGACTCCTGACTTTTAAAATGTCATTAAAATACCAATTTGTTCCCTGGCTGATTTGAGTGTGGTTACGGATGAGAAGAACACTAAGAATAGAGACCTCAGAGTCGGAGCCCACAAAACGTCTCCAAATTTAGCTTCACCCAGGCATGACCTCATGTATTTTGTGGTTCTCCACCACTTCCCCTGGTTCAATGTGGTCACCACGATGAGGTGGCACGTCGTGAGCTAACGAGAGCCTGCCAACAAATCAGGAATGAGGGAAATGGCACTGCGGCTTTCAGTGACTCGAAGTGAAACTTCACGGAGAGGAGTTCCTCTTCTAGGTTTCCTCCTTCCATTAGCCCCGTGCCCTTCACTCCGTGGGCAAGGCGGTATGTGGTCATGATTTCCCCTAAAACATAATGAGTAGATGTTCCCCTCCTGTTCCAGAATACCTCACCTTAGTCTGAGATCAGAGGCTGAGATCTTTATTTTATTTTTATTTATTTATCTGATTTGTCAATTGCTCACAAGATAGTAGGAATAAGTATAAATATGAGTAGGAACACAAGAAATAGGTACAATAAATGGGGACAATAGGACAGGGACGGTAGGCACGATGGTGCACTTATGCGCACCCCTTGCAGACCTCTTAGGAATGGAATGGGGTCAATATCATCTCTATATATCTATATACCTATACCTATATCTATATATCTATATGTATATCTATTCATCCATCTATCACATTTTAAAACTTTCCCTCTTCCCCACTGATGACTCCAGATGTTAGTGCTGGACTTGAAGCTTAGACTTAATCCTTCCAAGGGCAAATGTAGATAGAGATATGTCTAGTTTCATGTACAGGTAATTAGGCCTAGGTACATATAGGTTGATCTCTCAGTTACATCCCAACTGCGGACTGTTGAGAAGGAACCTCATGGCTCCACTGAGCAAAACCACTGTTTGGCCTAGTGATTAAGGCACCAGTCTAGAAGGCAAGTGACCATCGAATCCCACCTTAGCCATGAAAGCCAGCTGGGTGACTTTGGTCCAGTCACCAAAAAGTGGGAATTCTAGTCCCACCTTAGGCATGAAAGTTGGCTGGATGACTTTGGGCCAACTACCAGGAGATGGTGAGTTCTAGTCCTGTATTAGGCATGAAAGGCTAATACAGGCTTGGGCCAGTCTCTCTCTCTCAGCCCAGCCCACCTCATAGGGTTGTTGTGGGGAAAATAGGAGGAGGAAGGTGTGTTGGATATGTTCGCCACCTTACATTATTTGTAAGAATAATAAAGGTGGGATAAAAATAGTCAAATAAATAAAAAGAAATAAGGAAACTTGCTCTGATCTGTTAATCTACTTGCTTAGATGTTTACTTTGCAGAGAATACAAATGTCAGCACACATACAAATGTCAATTATTTCTTGGATGGCTCATTACCAATAAAAGATATATCAATAAGGCTTGTTTTATAAGAGGTGGGAATAATGAGTAGATGTAATACCATAATCAAAAGACTGGGACAAATGCCTTACATTTGTCTAGCTCTCTATTTGTTCACTCGTTGAATTTATTCTTCCAGGAAACCTACAGCCAGGAATCTTCAGACGTGTTAGAAGATAAAGAGAAGAAAAGAACGCCTAGCAGAAAAGGGTACGGGATTAAAAACGCAGAAAAAAAATCCAAATCTATTTCGGATTCATTTGTTACACATTAGTGTGCATCAAAAGTGTACACCGGTCTTATTATTAGTTTTAACCCTAGCATTCACAGATGATGTAAAGCAGGGTTTACACACCTACCTGGAAGATTTGATCTGGATTGAGATTCATTGCTTTAGAAGGCTGGTTAAATCCTCTTTTTATAAAAAAAAATGTTTGGTCGGTGCCCTTGATCGATCTGGATGACAATTGTAGGAAAAGTTGCTTTTGAAAGATAATGGCTACCAAATGTCAGGTATATACTGTAGAGCTGGTGTGTGTGTGTGTGTGTCAAACTGGACCTCTTCTTCTTTGTGCCAATCCCTGAGATAGTGGAAAACTGCTATCATGCCCCCCGCCCAGACCTTCTTTCCATTAAACTGGATGTACCCAATTTCACCAACCCTTCTTGTTTTAGCCTCCAGTCGTAATCATCTTTGTTGCTTTTCCTTGCGCTCTTTCTAGCATCTCAGAATTTTTTTTAACATTTTCAAGACTTTGCTAAATAGGAATAAAGTCAGGTAGGAAGGAACGAATAAGACTTCTTTTGCTATGTTTGGGTTAGAGGAGGTGTGTTTACATTTTCATACCAAGTTAAAGAAAAGAAGCGGCAGGATGCATGGTGCTAATTCAATTTCCTCCATGCGCTGAAATAATAATATGTCTTTGTTAGCTTCTTGGGTTCTTTTGAGCTCACTTCTCTTCCCGTGGATAAAAATTGGGCTAAGTAACATCATCAATTTCTTATCCAGGTAATGAAACATCTTCAGATTATTTCAAGGAATGCTAAGAACCCAACAGTTCAACCCTGAACTGCGTCTTGGGGACAAAACATTTGATAAGATACTTGGGTGAAGCAAACAGACTTATAGAATTTTGGAAGATAGCTTGGATGTCTCTGTAGACTTAAAGTCAAGGATTCCACTGTTTTACTTCCATCATTGATTTTCTCCGGCTGGCTAAGGCCAGGTATTTCATAGAAAATCCATAACGTCTGAAATGAGACTTTGATTTTGGTTAGCTACTAGGGAGTAGTTTTCTTACAAAGTCATGGCAATACAGGGCTTTCAAAGAAGATTAATTGGAGCAGAGATGATAGAGTCAAAATTTGATCTTTAATGAACTCAGGGGACAATTCTTAGAAATTTGGACTGAGCCACATGGCCACAGATCTGGATCACAGGTTAATAGGGTCAGGAAATATTTTCTCTGATTCCCACTATCCTTTTTCCCTACTCTTTTGAGCTGTGTGTAGTGAAGCAAGGCTAAATTGGTCCAAGACACTCAGCCTTAATAAGTGGTCCAGATAAAAACTATGCAGCTGAAAGATCAGCTCCATGGATCTCCGCTGGCCATGTATTTCTCTGGAATCACTTCCTGTAATGGGGACACTTGCTTCCCCTGTGTAAATCAACACAATGAAAAGTAGAAAAAAGAGAATCGTTCATTTGTCCCGATATATTTCATTTCCTTTTAAATAAAAGATGGTGCGGAAAGTTCATAGGTATAAAACAGTTGGCATTTACTAGGGGTGACATGATAGCAGTGTCCCAATATCTCAGGGGCTGCCCCAAAGAAGAGGGAGTCAAGCTATTCTCCAAAGCACCAGAAGGCAGGACAAGAAGCAAAGGGGGAAACTCATCAAGGAGAGAAGCAACGTAGAACTAAGGAGGAATTTCCTGACAGAACAATTAATCAGTGGAACAACTTGCCTCCAGAAGTTGTGAATGCTCCAACGCTGGAATTTAAAAAAAAGATGTTGTACAACCATTTGTCTGAAGTGGCGTAGGGTTTCCTGCCTAAGCAGGGGGTTGGACTAGAAGACCTCCAAGGTCCCTTCCAACTATTCTATTCTATTCTATTCTATTCTATTCTATTCTATTCTATTCTATTCTATTCTTAGTTTAGTCTATTCCTATTCCTATTTCTATTCTATTCTACATTCCATCATTCTATTCTATCCCTATCCTATCCTATCCTTTCCTATCCTATCCTATCCTATCCTATTCCATTCTTCATTGTCCTGTTCTCTTCTCTTTTATTCCTTCCCATCCCATCCCATCCCATCCCATCCCTTATTCTATTCTGTTCTGTTCTGTTCTATCTTCATCCCATTATTCTA